AGCTTGGTTATTCTCACCACCCACACAGTTGTCTTCTCCACAGAGGTGGCTCCAAAGCGGTGGACCGAAAACTGAGCTGCACTTAGAATTAGATGGAGTGACTTCTTAAAATCCTGACAATTAAATCACAGCATGAAGCCTCAGTTCCTATTTTAATTTTATTTTTAAAGCTTTACTGATGTATAATTAATATACAAAGAACTATGTACATTGAATACATACAATGTGATGAGTTTAGATATATATAAACACTGGTGATACACAATCATACGCAACACCTCCCAGAATTTCCCTGTGCTCCTTATTTTTGCTTTTTTCATCTTTGTGGTGAAACACTAAGCATAAGATTTGCCCTCTGAATACATTTTGAGTGCACAATACCATATTGTTAACATAGGTACTATGCTCTATAGCAGATCTCTAGAACTTACTCATCTAGCACAACTGACAATGTATGCCCATTGACTAACAATGCCCCTTTTCCTCCACTGGCAGCCACTAGTGTATTCTTTGCTTCTATGAGTTTAACTATTTTTGGTAATTTATTTAAGTGGAATCGTGCATTATTCATCCTACTGTGACTAGCTTATTTCATTTAGCATTAAGTCTTCAAGGCTGTCAAAAACAGGAGGATTTCCTTCCTTTTTAAAACTGGGTAATATTCCGTTGTTTGTATACAGCAGTCCTCTTTATCTGCAGTTTTGCTTTCCAAGGTTTCAGTTACCTACAGTAAATTGCAGTCCATAAGATTAAGTGGAAATTTCCAGAGATAACAATTAATAAATTTTACATTGCATGCCATTCTGAGAGACTGGATAAAATCTCGAGATGTCCCTCTCCATCCACCCGGGACATGACTCACCCCTTTGTCTGTATATCCACACTGTGCATGCTCCTGCTCTTCAGTCACTTAGTAGCAGCCATTTGGTTATCAGATAGACTGAGTGGTTCAAGTGACCCTTATTATTATTTCGTAGTGACCTCAAAGTTCTAGGCTTGTCATGCTGCCAATTCGAATATGGAGCCGTAAAGTGCTTCTTTTATGTGAAAAGTGGAAGTTCTCCACTTAAGAAAAAAAATCAAATGCTGAGGTTGCTAAAGTCTATAGTAAGAATGAATCTCCTACCCATGAAATTGTGAAGAAGGAAATAGCTCTTGCTAGTTTTGCCCTCACACCTCAAACTCAAGTGTTACAGCTGCAGTGCATGTCACAAGGCTTAGTGATGGTGGAAAAGTCATTACATTTATGGGTGGAATACGTGACACCATCATGGCTCCACGATCCTCCTTCTCAGTTATCAGAAGGTCAGTAGCAGCCCAACACTATGTTACAAGGCCTATGTCATTTACTTCAATTCATCTCATCATGTAGGCCTTATATCACCACATTAACATATTTTCAGAGAGCGAGGGAGACCTTCCTATAACTTTTATTACAGTACCTTGTTTTTTATTAGTTATTGTTGTTAATCATTTACTGTACCTAATTTATAAATTAAACTTTATTGTAGGTATGTATATATAGGTGACAATAGTACACATAGGATTTGGTACTATCTGCTTTTTCAGACATCCACCTGGGGTCTTGGAAAGTATTCCCCACAGATAAGAGGTTATGTCTGCATACCAAATTTATTATCTTAAAGTTCTGAAGGTCAGAGTCTTAAGTGGGTCTTATGGATCTAAATCAAGTTATCGGCAGGGCCGTGTTTCTTCTCGAGAATCTACTCCTTGCTTTTTCCGGCTTTTGGAAGCTTCCTGAATTCCTTGGCTCATGACTCCGATCTCTGCTTCCATCATTTCATTTTTTACTGACTCTCACCTCCCTCTTACATGGACCTTTGTGATTGCATTGGGCTCACCCAAATTTTCCAGAACTATCTTCCCATCTCAAGATCCTTAACTTAATCATATCTCCATATTTTGCCATATAAAGAAACATGTTCACAGGCTTGTAGAATTATGATGTGAATGTTTTGGGAGCCATTATTTAATCTACAACAGTCTAAATAAACTACCATGTGATGAAGGCTTGACTAGAGCATTGTTGAATTCATGTTTTATTAAGTTGGGGTCCATTTTACTAATCCTGTTGGTCCAAATACTGATTAATAATGCATGTTCACAGTGAAGATCATGGGAATCACTCTCTACAATGTCACATATGATGAAAAAAATTGTAATCACCATTTGTCTCATTCAAAGATGGTTCTGCAGGATTCACACACAATGAAAAAGCCTTTGAACTCCTATCCCCAGGGAATAGTAACCACCAGTCGAGGAACTCACTTTGAGTGTCTCACATCATAGTCTCCCAAAGAGAGTATCTGAGTTATATAATCAATCACTAACACATAGACAGTGCCCCTGTGGAACAGAGTAGTGTTGGGCTACCTCTCAGACTGCAGGCCAGCCTAGGAATGGCTACTTGAGAGAGATGCTCATTCTTGGTCAAAGTGCTGTGTCTGGTATCTAGTCATGAGGGCTATAGCATGGGGGATACATTTCAAAGACCCTCAGAAAGATATTTGGAGCATCACAAACTTTCTGGGGTTTCTCAGAATGAGGCAGTATACTTAGGAGGCAACATGCCTAGTGTATCCAGGGAAAAATGACAGATGGTAGTGCTATTATTACATATTTCCCTACTTACCATCATTTCATATCTTTTTTCTTATTATTATGTGTGGATACATTTCAACCAATTCACCTTTTAATTGCACACTATGGTTTTGTCATCTTGTTTTTTAATTTCCTGATTCTTACATTTTATTGAGAATACAAAGCAGATGCTTTCTAATATTCTGATTCCTAGTGTAATTTTTTAAATTACTTACCTGAGGATATTTTTTTTTAGTGATTTTTAGACAGATGAAGGGAGAGAGAGAGAGAGAGAGAGATTAATTTGAGAGAGAAATATGAATCAGTTGCCTCTCCTGCATACCCCAGGTGGGGATTGAACCCACTACCTAGGTATGTGCCCTAACCAGAAATTGAACTGACAACATTTTGGTGTACAGGATTATGCGCCAACCAACCGAGTCACCTGGTCAGAGCCTGGTGTAATATTTTAAAACTATGGTTTACCTTTTCATCATGAGCTCACTGGTTACTTGTTTTATGTTCAAGCATTATAAACTTTATGTTGGTTACTTCTGTTTTCTCTCGTTTGAATAATTAAAGTCCACCCAGACTTGGTGCTTATCACACATAGGGGCAACGACTCACTTTGTCTTCCTCACCCAGTAATAACTAATTTTTGAAGCCAATAATTCAATATTTGGTATCTGATATAGTTTTTCTGAACTCACTTACTGAATTCATTCTCTAGTTTGCCTAGATAGTTGTTAATTAATTTCTAGATATTTAGAAGTAATGTGTAGTTTGTCAATTGTCCAAAAAAGCACTTGAAGTCTACAAATTCATAAGTTCCCTGCTTATAGGGAATTTTTTGCCTCTGAGCCTTTTAGTTCCCAAGCTGCTACACACCAAGTGTTCACTTGCATACCAGCAGCATTAGATACTCAAAAATGTGGTCCCAGAACTGAAATATAAAAATACCTTGCTTTGTAAAGGTACTTTTGTACTTCACTGCAAACCCAATTTGCCTCTGGTGAGATTACAAAGGCTAGAAGGGCAAGTCGCCTCAAACAGTTCAGAGTGTGAACACGGGTCTGCTTCACCACAAACCCCTGGCTCCTTGGCTCAGACTCAGGGCCTGTGAGGATTTGCTTTGGGCAGCATGAGCTTATGATGGGGATGGTGCACCAAAGGCCATGCTACAGTACTAAAAAAGGAAGCAGTTGGCAGGTGCATTCACCTCAGCAGGTGCCTGACAGGTCAGATCATCCTACATCCACTGGGGTCAGACTTCCTTGTGAGCCCCCAGGAGGTTCTTCCAGAAATATCCAATGTGCACTTTACAGAGCAGTGCAATTTTATAGAACCAGATTACACCAGAGTCAGTGGCATTTGATGTTAACACCATCAGTGATTCCATTTGTCTCCAAAGGCTGGTCAGAGAAAGGGAAGCACAAGGAAAAAAAAGAGAGAAAAACAAAACAAAACAAGGAAAGCTTCTAGGCTTTTCTGTTTGATGGGCTTTATTAAAGTTGTTTTACTAGTGATAAAGAGGACCTCTTTCAATTCATCGTGAGCAATGTGAGCAGTAACATAAAGAGTCTCGCTATGTAAGGAGAAAAACAACAACAGTGATGTTAGTGGAACAAGAACAATTTCTGAAAATACATAAAGGTCAACGCCTTGGAATTGGAAGAACAATAGCAAAGGATGCCACACTTTGATGTACAGATTCAATGGGGGTACGTGAGGTGGGTTCTTTGAGTTGAGGAAATCGATGAGCAATTATGAAAGTGGTCTGCATTGGAGGGTGATACTTGAAGATCTGGGGTTTCAGCAGTTTCGTGAGTGGAGTTTCAGAGTAAGGCCTTTCTTTACTATTTTTTATTGACACCCGTACTTTGGTTGTAGCATCTACCCCCAGCTACTGTGAAAGATGGAGAGACAGGGTTTCTGAAGTTATCATGATTATAGCACTCAGTTAGCAGAACAGATACATGACCCAGGACATGATGGAACAGTGCAGGATTTGGCTTTCCTGCAGTTCAAATTTTAGGTTGAAAGAGTAAGACTGTCATTTCAAGAAGATGGCGAAATAAGTTAAAGACACCTCACAAAGATAAAGAGGAAATCAATGGCATGGTTATAAAAGAAGTATTTCTATTATGGGAATGATCAAATCTTACCTCAGGAGCAAAAATCCACATTCAAATAACATTTTCCTGCATCCAGGCCTGATAACAAACGAGCAAGCAAAGCATAAGCAAATTCTGCAGATAGAAAAATGGCGAAATAAAAAATGGGGTAGGGGAAATTTGCATCCACAGGGAGATATTTTCTTGCATAATACACTAGTGAGACCAAGAATTTGTTCCCTACTTGGAAATTATTGTGAAGATTTTGATTCTGTGCACAGGAAGATGCTATGGAGTAGAAGAATAATACACAACTAACTCACTGTTTTCTTCATGATCATCTATTTGCTTAAGTCCTTGACAATAATTGTGCAGTGTAATTTAATTGTTGCAGTGCTGAGCAGAGAGTGGGTGCAGGTCAAAAGGCTGTCACCTGTGAACATGATTCTCATCAGCCTGGGTGTCTGCTGCTTCTGTTTACAATGGTCATCAGTGCTGCACAATTTTGGCTTCTATTTCAACCCAATTACTTTGGTACATATTAATCATCTGGGAATTTACTAATACTCTTACATTCTGGTTAACCAGCTTGCTCACTGTTGTCTACTGTGTCAAAGTCTCTTTCTTCACCCATCCCATCTTCCTCTGACTGAGGTGGAGAATTTTGAGGTTGGTTCCCTGGCTATTGATAGGGTCGCTGCTGATTTCCTGTGTGACAATCATTGTCTCAGCTTTTAGACATCACATCAAGATTCAGTTAATCTCCATGATGCCTGGAAACAACACTAAGACAGAGAAACTTAAGACATTTATAGAGAAGTTTTACATATCTCAGCAACTGGTTGTGTTGGTAATTCCTTTCCTCCTGTTCCTGGCCTCCACCATCTTGCTCATAACCTCATGGTGCCAACACTTGGGCAGATACATATCACAACTCTGGCCACAGCAACTCCAACATGAAAGCTCACTCCACTGCCCAGAGGTTTCTTGCCTTCTTCCTCATCTTCTTCACCTCTTACTTTCTGACTGTAATCATCTCCAGTATGTACATCCTGTTGAATATGAATTCCTAGTTCTGAGCCTGGGAAACTATCATCTATGCTATAGGCTCTGTTCATTCCACTTCACTGATGCTGAGCAGCCCTACATTGAAAGTGGTTTTAAAGATAAGCTGCTATGCCCTAGAGGCTGCCTGAGGCACCAAGTACAAGACCTGAGCAAATGGTAGCTTGCACTGACCAGTTAATACCAACAACCAGCATTACTCTTGACAATGCCCTGTGTGATAGGAATGTACCATAAATGAGCAAACCTCATTCTCTTCCATTCTCACAGTCATTCATCTCTAAACAATCTATCTTTTTCTATTCTATGCCACTTCTTTCTTTTTTTTCCACAGTCTCAGGTTGGTCCCAACTTTCTCATGACTTCCCGGTCTCTCCTTAGTTTTCTCTACCTCTGCCATTTTACTCCCAGTACATTCCACCCAAGAAAGCCACAATTAAGCTATCCATACATTATATTGATTTCATCCTCTTCATGGCTGTAAATTACTTCACACATTAATAGAAATAGCTCCCCTGTAAGAATTTATTGCCCACACCCTGAAGGTTCCCTGTGCTAAGACCACAATTAATCAATTTTCCTAAATGTAGTCAAGAAAATGTCTGGCCATCTTCTTTGCTGCTTATGGGTCTTTATCCAATGACATACTTTATTTATCTGTTTCTCTTCCAAATAATGTGCCTTTATTTCTTTAAAACTAAAATCAAAACTTAATGTTCTTTCATTTTTATTTGTCATAACATTATATTCTCCTCGGAATAGCAAACTACATATCCTTTCTAGGTTCATCCTAGAGCATCTCCAAATATTGGCAACTTAACCTGGTCAATTGCATATGGTTCCCATTGGCAGCATTCTTGCCTCTCTGTTGTACTACAATTTGGAATGAACTTTCTAGAAAAAGATTCCCAGATTGAGGCATAGCTGGTTTTCTTCCATATATAATCCAGATGTGGTGAGAACATTTAAGATATAGTCACTTAGCAACTTTCAAGTACATAATACGGTATTGTTAACTATAATCATGGTGCTGTGCATTAGATTCCCAGAAGTATTTATCTTCTTAACAGCAAGTTTGATCAACATATTCCAAATTTCCCCATGCTCCAGCCCCTGGTGACCACCATTCTACTCTGTTTGTACAAGTTTAGCTTTTTAGATTCCAAATTTAAGAGATATCATGCAGTATTTGTCTTTCTCTGTCTGACATACTTAACTTAGCATAATACCCTCATCCACTCATATTGTTGCAAATGGCTGAATTGATTTTCTTTTTTTAATATTCCTGTGTGTGTGTGTGTGTGTGTGTGTGTGTGTGTGTGTGTGTGACACATCTTCATAAGTAGAGAATAGGAAAAGAAAGAATTTTAATAGGGATTGCATTGAATATATAGATGGCTTTGGGTATAATGGGCATTTTACCAATATCAATTCTTCTAATCCCAGTTGTTTATGTCTTCTTCAATTTTTTCATCAAAATCTTGTAGTTTTCAGTGTACATATCACTCACTTCCTTGGTTAAATATGTTTAAAAATTTTTTTGGTACGTGCCCCTAGCGAGAACCAAACCTGGGACTCTCTGGTCCACAGGCCAACGCTCCAACTGCTGAGCCAAACCAGCCAGGGCAAATATATTTAAATATTCTATTTCTAAGTATTTTATTGTTTTTGATGCTATTGGGAATGGAATTGTTTTCTTAATTTCTCATTTAGATAGTTCATTGTTGGTACATAGAAGCATAACTAATTCTTGTATGTTGATTGTGTGTCCAACAACTTCACTGAATTTATTAATTAGTTCCTTTTTTGATTAAATCTTTAGAATTTTTCATTTATATAATCAAATCATCTGAAAATATAGACAATTTTACATCTCTCAAATTTAGTTGCCTTTTATTTATTTATCTCACCTGATTGCTATAGCTAGGACTTCCAGTACGGTGTTGAGTAAGAGTGATAAAAGTTAGCACCCTGGTCTTGTTCCTGATCTTAAAAGAAAAGATTTCAACTTTTTACCATTGATCATGATGTTAGCTGTGGGTTTGTCACATGTAACCTTTATTATATTGAGGTATGTTCTTTATATATGCAATTTGTTGGGAGGTTTTTATCATGAAAGGATGTTGAATGTTGTCAAATGCTTGATCTGAAATAATCATGTGATTTTTATCTTGCATTATATAAATGTGGTGTACCACATTTATTGATTTGTGTATGTTGGGTCATCTTTGCATTCTAGAGATAAATCCCATTTGATAATGGTGTTTGGTCTTTTTAACGTGCTGAGAATGTTGGTTTGCTAGTTGTTGGGTTTTTTTTTTTTTTTTTGGTTTTTTTTTTAGGATTTTTGTATCTATGTTCATCAGTGTTCTTGTCTTGTCTTGGTTTTGGTATCAGTATAATGTTGGCCTCATAAAATAAGTTTGGAAGTATTCCCTCCTCTTCAATTTATTGGAAGTGTTTGAAAAGATTGGTGTTAATTTTTCTTTAAATATTTGGCAGAATTCACCAGTAAAACCATCTGGTCTTAGATGTTTCTTTCTTGGGATTTTTTTTATTACTGATTTGATTTCCTTACTCATTCTTTGCCTGTTCGTATCTTCTTCATGACTCAGTCTTGGTAACTTTTATGTTTCTAGAAATTTATTCATTACTTATAGATAACTCATTTGTTAGTATAAAATTGCTCATAATAGTTTCTCATGATCCTATATACTTCTGTGGCATCAGTTCCAATGTCTCCTATTTCATTTCTGAGTTTATTTGTCTTCTCTTGTTTTTTCTTAATGTAGCTAAAGGTTTGTCCATTTTATCTGTTAAAAAAAAAACAGCTATTAGCTTTGTTGACCTTTCCTATTGTATTTTTAGTTTCTATTTCATTTATTTTTTCTGTGATCTTTGTTATGTCTTTTCTTCTGCTTACTCCAGCCTTGGTTTGTTCTTCTCTTCCTAGTTCCTTGAGGTGTAAAGCTAGGTTGTTTAAGATCTTTCTTTTATATATATATATATATATATATATATATATATATATATATATATATATATATATATCACTTTAAATTTTCTTATAAGAAAGAGGCTATGGGTTCCATAGTGGAGCAAGAGCTGGGAGTAGTTTAGCAGATAAGCGTCTCTCCCTTACCAAGGAATGATCAGGTACTAATCCTCTCAGGGTCCCGAAGAACAGGAAACAGCCTGCATTTGGACTCCTTCTCCAACAGAGGGCCGCAATGGACAGATTACAACAGCACCATTACAACAGCACCGTCAATGAAGACTTAACATTTTATTTCTTCCTTCTCAACCCCATGGTCCTATAAAAGCAAGAAGAGGAGGCAGTAGAGTAGTGAAAAATTGAATTCCCACTTTCTTCCCTGCTAGTCCCCAACCATTATGTTAGACCTAAAATAGGGGAAAAGATGAAGACTTTAATTATATAAAACATTAATGTTTTGATATAGACCATTTGTAATCTGCAAACGACAAACATGTAGAATCTATAATGCCATCAAGAGACGGGAAAGAATGAGTCATCTCTGGAATATGTTGATGGCAGTGGTTAAAGAAACACTTGTTCATCTGAGCTCAGTCTATTCAATAACTCTATTACACGAGACAAAAACGTCAGAAAGATGTTAAATACCTCCACATTTTCTCTGAGATTTCTTGTCAAGTTCTGTATATTACATTCCCCTCATAAAATGACCCTGAGATAAATTCCTTTCTCAAAAGCAGCTAAACCAAAGACTAAGGAAAGAGTTTACCTCTGATGATCCTTAGTGTTCTGGCCATCATGGTTATTATGATTCTCTCTACCTAAATCCAGATAGAGCAGCCTTAAATTATGGGCTTGATCACAATACCATTGTACATAGTGATGGGGAACTGAAGAAGTTAAAAGTTTTAGCTTTACCTATAGAGTTAATAGACTTGGTAACGAATACATGTAGAAAGCTATTGTTCCAGGGACTGGAATGTATGACTGAACCTGCCTTGACTTCAGGAGACCCACAAGCAATTTGACCTTTGTGCCCCAGAAGGACTGCAAGTGACCAAGATGGTACGCGAGCCACTGTGCTCCAGGAAGAGAGCTTCCGCCACCCAGGATGTAGATAAGGTATCGCCAGTCCGCAGATGAAGGGATGATCAGAAAACTGCTGGACTGCAGCTTTTATCTGATTAACTTTTCCCCGTGAATTCCAAACCTTTTACCTACACTTTTATTCCACTACAAAAAAGGTCAGCTTGAGATGAGATGTAAGACAGTGTTTTAGGGTACATAATCCACCATCTTCTCAGATCCCCAGTCATCTGAATAAAGTGCCCAAAAAATTCAATCCTCATCTCTACTTATTGATGTGGTAGTGACAGGCATCATGAATGCTGACTTTTCTGGTTTCAATAGTCTGGTGGATCTGGTGGGATAGCTTTGGGACTCTGGTAAGTCTGGTATTTGGCAGGAAGTCCTGTTGGCTGCCTTGACTGGGGGATGCCAGGGTGAGGATTTGGAGACTCCCTAGCAGCTGCCAAGTGATTTCACTTGGGGACTTTTTCCAACTCTCAGCTGTCACATTCATTTCCTTTCTTTCTTTCTTTCTTTCTTTCTTTCTTTCTTTCTTTCTTTCTTTCTTTCTTTCTTTCTTTCTTTCTTTCTTCTTTCTTTCCTCCCTCCCTCCCTCCCTCTCTCTCTCTCTTTCTTTCTTTCTCTTTCTTTCTGCAATTTATATCAATTTATTTTTGTTACAGATGTTTCTCCTTTTTCCCATATTGACACCCTCCTCCCTCTTCCTGCCCCCTTCCCCAGCATTGTTGTCTATGTCCATTGGCTACACCTACATGCATATAAGTTCTGTGGTTTATCTCTTCCCTCCCTCCCACCCATTGTTCTCTTCTGAGGTTTGTTAGTCTGTACCCTACTTCTATGTCTCTGGGTCTATTTTGTTCATCAGCTTGCTTTGTTCATTATATTCCACAAATGAGTGAGATCATGTGATACATGTCTTTCTCTGATTGACTTATTTCACTTAGCATAATACTCTCCAGGTCCCTCCATGTCATCTCAAAGAATAAGAGATCTTTCTTTCTTACAGCTGCATAGTATTCTACTATGTATATGGATCACACCTTTTTT